TTCTTTCTTTTTTTGATCATCGTAGGGTTTTGTTCCCAATTTCATTTCTGTTGTTATAGGTGTTTGTGGAGCTTTTTGTTTTCTAAGCTTCTAAAGTCTGTATTCCTTGTCATATGCTGTTGCTGAAGTCTGTTTCTGGTTGGCAGATGAACTTGAACTTGGAAAGATATTTCTTTGAATAGCTTAAGACAGTAAGTCTTAAACTCTTTGCCAACGAGTTTTGTGTTTTCTGCGATACACTTTTAACATCCCTGAAATCTCCAACTCTGCCTTATCTTTTACTTTCTGCTTGCACATGGCCTCAGTATCAGAGTTGAAAAATTAAGACCTTCTCAATTATTTTTTATGCTTTCACATAACCCTGCACATACGCATGGGCTTCTAGAGCCTGAAAAATGCACCAAACCTTTTCACCATGCACTACCATGGACTTGGCATTCCCCATGACTTCCCTTTAAAGATTTTAACTAGTGTCTTGTGTACCCCAACTGGTACCGATGCCTCTTGCAGCTGAAATATTAAATAATTGCTACTGATTATTTTCAACACATGTCCTGGGAATAAGAACTTGCCCCCGTGAAAGAGCTCAGAGTCAGGTCAAATAATGACAAGCCCTGTAAATGTCCTTTCCAGAGAGACTCCAGGCAGGTTAAAGAGTGACAGTTCTCTGGGAATACAGCCTTTTCAGAAGCTTCCAACACCATTTTTTCTCCTTCATGTTTCTAGGCTGCTACTTTTTAAGCCTATCACAGAACTGGAGTGAGGAGTATAGGAATAAGACAAAATGCCAGAGCTCACTGTTCTTACTGAAATCCAGCTGATTTTTTTTGAATAAAATATTCTTAAATTGTTGTAAGCCTTTGGTTAATTCCAGAATTGGGAAAAGATTGATCTTGACATTTTTGACATGTTTTTCATTGTTTTTATAGTAAAGATTTTTTCAAATGATCTTGTTGCACAAGTCCTGCCTTCACTCCAAGATTCTTTTTATTTGTGTTGGCATCTTTCCTGTCCTTTTGCTCTCAATTATTTTTCTCATTATATTAAAGAAGAGTTTCCTGTAGATGGCACATATTGGGTCCTGGGGTTTTTTGTCCAGTTTTATCATCTCTGCTTTTAATAAACCATTTTATCATTTGTATTTAATATAATTATTAACATGATTAAGTTTAAATTTACCAATATGTTTATTTTCAATTTACCACTTTGTTATTTTTCCTACCTTTTCTTCCTTTCTTTAGACTAAATTAAGTTTTTTAAATATTTCTATTTTAGCTTTTGTGGGAGCTTATTGGATAAAAATCTTTGTTTCATATTTTTATTAGTTGATTTCAGGTATTTAGTACACTTGGTACAGTCTGCCCTCAAGTAATATTATAACACCATACATAAGAGTTTTGTGATGGTATAATTATGTCCCCACCTAGCCCTTTTGCTGTTGCTGTCTTGAATTTTATATCTAAATGCTATAACCTCCATAATACATTATTATTTTTATCTTAATTAGTTACCTTCAAAGACATTTTCCTAAAAAATTACACATATATATATATGCTTATATAACTATCATCTCTGGTACCTCTGGTACCATTCATTTCTTTGAATAGATACTCATTTCCCTCTGGTATCATTCTTCTTCTGCATGAAAGATTTCTTTTAACATTTTACATAATGAAATTCTGCTCTTGGTGAATTCTTTCAAATTTTACACGTCAGGGATGTCAGGGAGGGGAATAGTTTTGGTTTTCATTTCTTAAAAGATATTTTCACTGGTTGTGGAATTCTAGGGTTTTTGTTTGAGTTTTTAATTGTTCATTGTTTCTTTGACTATACTGTCATTCTTAGCAATTTTTGGTCGGGACATAATATTTCCATTCTCTTCTCTATTTTTAAAATATCCTACTCTTTGTTTCTGTCACACAATTTGTTTATGATACATCTTGGAATATTTTCTTTGCCTCATACTTGGGCCTTGTTAAATTCCTTTGAGTTTTTATCCATTTGGAAAATTTTTAAATATTTTTCTAAATAATTTTATCTCCTCTCCCTTTCTTCCAATTACATGCATATCTCTTTGGAATTGTCCCATAACTTATGAGTGCTGTTTGACTTCTTTCTGACTCTCTGTGTTTCTTTATGGATCATTTTTATTTTTTGTCCCTTTTTAAGCGCACTAGTCTTTTCCTCTGCAGTATCTGATCTGTCATTAATTTTATCCAATATATTTTCATCTCAGACAATATAATTTTCATGTTTAGAAGTTCAATTTGGTTTTATTTTACATCTTTTATATCACTATTAACAAATTCAGTTCTTCTCTCAACCTTATTAAATACATAGAATTACAACTATTTTATTTCTCTTGTCTACTATCATCTGTTTTACTTGATATATGTATTTTTCATTATTATACTTTGTATTTTTTCTGCTTTTTGTAAGCCTGATAATTATTGGATTTCAGACACTGTGGCTTTTATTTTGTTCTGCTGTTGAATTTTTTATTCTTATAAATATTCTTGAGATTTGTTCTGGATTACAGTTAAATTTCTTAGAAATAGCTTGATCCTTTCAAAGCTTCTTTTAAGCTTTGTTTTGTAGCAGCAGCTTTCATTCTAGAGCTAATTCTGCCCCATTACTGACTCAATAAGCTTCTGAGTAATTTCTTCATTTCCCTGTGAATTATGAAGCTTTCATTGGCTTGTCTGGACATGAGTATGAGATCTCAAGACTGTTCTTTTTCTCATTTCAGGTAGTCCTTTACTTAGCCTTGTGTAGTTTTCTCATACTTATGTGCTGATTGGTATTTTCCTGAAACCTTGAGTGAGACTTTCTGAAAATTTCTCTCTCTCTCTTTTCTCTCTCCCTTCCATCCCTCCCTCCCTCCTTCCCTCACCCCTTCTCTTCCTCTCTCTCAAACTTATTCTTCTTTGGTACTCTGCCCTGTGAATTCTAACCACCTTGGTCTTTCCAGACTTCCCGTAGTCTTCAACTCACATGACCAGTGTTCTCCTGACCTACTGTATAAACTGGAAGCTTGCTCTGGGTAGTAATGTGAGACAATATTGGGGCTCACTTCAATTGTTTTCCCTCTCTTATAGAGCACAGGCCATTGTATGAAAATTACTTTTCATATGTTGCCAAAAATTTAGAGGAGAATGTGTAACCAGCACCCACTGCTCCAAGTTTGTGGGATGCTGAAGTAATATTCCACTGAATTTATGTTATTTTTAAGAGATAGAATTATTTGAGTGCATACAAATATGAAGACAACATTTTATTGTAGAATAATTCCTTGTGGTAGATATTTATAATTAAGTACTTTCTGCTACTTTACTGGTTTTAATAAACTTGTTTTTAGAAAGCATTTGTTGTTTATTATGCCCTTGTTTTTGTCACTTTCCTTACTAGTGAAGGGAAGAGCTGAGAACTGGTAAGGCTAATCAAAAACACCCTTACTATTAACCAATCATACACTGATATAGAATATATATATATGAGCAGCATTTGCTTCAGAATTTCAACCCATGACAGACCCACAAAATGGCAGGCATTTTACTTCAGTTTTCAAACTGACCATGTCTCCCACTGAGAACTACACAATGGTAATTTCTCCTTTGAACTCTTCTCAAAGTTGATCCTCTTCCATATACTTTTCCCTTTCATAATTGTTAGGGATCTTTTAAAGAAAAACCTTTCTTTATATAGAAGAAAGACGATGGAAACATGTGATACTGGGAGAAGTGTGGGGGGAGCCAGTCCTGCCACATCCCTTTCATGGATGTAGAAATTAGGTTCAGGAATACAAAGGATATATGTAGCTCATATTTGATGCAATCAAGACTAGATCTAGTTCTCTTGACTCTAATGCCCACTTCCACCTATCTTTCCTTGACAACATAATTTGGGAAATTTTTCTTCTGAAGAATTCCTATTGAATTTTACACATTCTCCCTTCTCCTGACTTACATATTTCTAGTCCTTGGTGAGAAACAAAAAGTATTCAAATGCTTAGTTTATTTTTTCATTACACTTTAGTTCTCCATGCTTAAAATAACCAGTTCAGCTCTGCCATTCTGTTTTGTTTTGTTTTAATGCCCTGGGAAACCATTACCCAGCAGGGTTGTCTCTGAGATGATAGAACATAAACTGAAATTCCTCAGGCCTCTCATGTTGACATATGGAATCATTCTGAGGACATCTTACAGCCTCTTCTCCTCTTTAGAACAAACAGTTCTAAATTATTTGTCACTCTGCAAAATCTCATGAATCTCAACAACTGCAAACTTAGTCAATTTATGGAAAGACTCTATTCCAATATTTTCTTTTTGCATTTTTACCCTCACTGAAATTTTTCCCCCATGACAACTTCCAAGATGTGAGAGACTCTTTGAGTTACTTGTTCAAAAACAAAAAAAAAAAATCACTTTTTACAAGTAGTGATCTTTAGTCAGCAACTGACCTCCAGGACTCTGGTTAATTCATTTTTAAAATGGTTTAGACAATAAATTACTATATACATGTGAAAATTTCCTTAGTCTAAGAGAGGGTAATGTTTTTTTCAATTTGAAAAGTTGAGCTCTTTCAGATTACTATTTTCCCTTGCCTCAACAGACAAATTTTGTCCCTTTCCCTTGGATCTGGCTATCTTTTGCCCCTCTGATAACAGCAATTTATACCACAACCACCCTCATAGCAAATATTTTCTTAGGTTCAATCCCAGTATTGGAGGAAAGAAACACTTAAAGAGACTGATTTGAGCAGAATAGGATAAGCAAATTTATGGGGGCAGTCCAAATCTGAGGGAAATAAAAATATCGGTGACCCCTTAGGGTGCTCTAAGAAGTAACCAAGAAGTTTCTAAAACCGCTTTGAAAGGACTGTGCCAATATGTAAAATACTCTATTTTGCATTTTAGATATATGTAGATATGTCTTTTCCTGCCTCACCCTCTATAGGTCTACATTCCATTTAAGAGAACTGGGATTTTGTTCTGTTTCCAGGTTTTCCCAACATTTCCAACTAGGAACATCAAATTGGAATTCTGGCTAGGTGATGAGTCACCTCTAGGACCCTTGGGAATGCAGCAGTCACCACACACAGATGCTGTCTGACAGGATCCATTGCTGCCTCAACACAGAGCAAACTCCTCTTGAGGCAGACTAGGCCAACTGTCTCTCGAAGGGTCATCCTGTCTAAGGTAAGCATGACACGACCAAGTTTTGTGTCCCCAAAGGGCAGCTTTCCACAGTGCAGCCAAATTTTGCCTTCTCTGCCACTTTACATTTCTAGAATCCAACAAATTTTCAACTTCAGGACAAAAGCTCCAGGAAAGAGAAATATCTTTGTGGTCATTGGAGGTACCATTTCATAAATCCCTTCTCTCTCTTTTCTTTGTCCTTTATACTTGCTACCTCAAATGAGGAAAAATACAGAATGTAATTTTGACCTTCCACATTTATACTATGATCTCTACCCAACAGACCTAGAGCATGTTAGACTGAGCTCAAAGACCTGTGACACATTGTTTTGGCCTCTTCCTTAGAGTAAATGATTTTCCATTGCTTCCAAAGTTATTTCTTTCCTTCCTGACCACCAGAACAGAGTTTGGGCATATATATATATATAAAATATACGAACTGAATACATGAATATATATATGAATATTCATTCTTTTGACATCTCTGGCACCCTGTTCTGAATCTCTAACTGTCCACCCTAGTAAGATAAAATACACTAATCTGATTTAGAGTTTCAAAAGAGAAAATTCCAAATTAGATTCCATTATTCTTAAAACTTACACACTGGCCTAAGTTTTCTTATTTGCTTTTCTTCTGCATGGCACTGCCGTGTTTTTGTCTACTTGTCAGCCCAAAGCCTCATGCACTCCTAAATAGGGCTTTGGTTAGGTGATTGGATCATGAGTTCAGAATACTCATCAGTAGTTTAGTCCACTGATGAGTTAGTTTATAGCTAAAGGTGATGTTAGGAGGTGAAGCCTGGTTGGAAGAGGTGGGTCACTGGGGGTGTGGCCTGGAAGGATCTATCTCCCTCCCTCCTCCCTTCTTGCCTGTCATGCCATGCTTTCTCCTCTCCCATGACCTCTACCATGCTGCCCTCCCTTGGAGCCAGCTGATTATGGGCTGAAACCTCTACAACTGTGAGCCAAAATAATTTTTTTTTTTGGTTCTGGGGATCGAACTCAGGACCTTGCACTTGCAAGGCAGGCACCAGAAATACTGAGCTAAATCCCCGGCCCAAGCCAAAATAATTCTTTCCTCCTTTAAGTTGTGGGTGTCAGGTACTGAGTCTCAGTGATGAGAAAGAAACTAAAACAGGTATCAGCATGTGAGGGGAAAAAAAGGCCAAGTGTATTTACTGGTCAGGTGCTCTCTAGGGCACTCTTGATGCAAACATCTTTCAGTAACCTCAGAATCCCTGGGTCTCAGGTGATAGGGGCACAATCCATTTTGATAAAGAAATGTGGTTTTCTTAGTGTTTGCAATTTTTCTATTTCTAAAATGTTCAGTTCAACTTTAACCTCATCACTATAGAAGCAGTTGGAAATATTCTGATATCTCTGCTAGAGAAAATATTCAAGTTTCTTATCAGTGAAAATGAGCAAAGAATTTATTTTTCTAAATATAGATGTTATAAGAAAGAACTTTTCTTCAGTACTAATTTTTAAAGTTTAATTATCTAGACAAAATGCATGTTATATATTAT